ACTGTTCAACCGATTGAAAGCTGTCGTTGAGATCGAGTGAGTCTCCATAGCCGGGAGTGTCCACAATAGTGACCCGCAATTTGATGCCCTTCTCAATGATGTCCAACTGTTTCTTATCGATCACAACCGTTCGGTCCAACAGTTTGTCCACATTTAACTGTTTGCGTTGTTTGTAGAGATCGGCCAGAAATAGACAATTGATGAGAGTTGATTTGCCCAGACCTGACTCGCCTGACCATACAGTACAACAAAACGGGTTAATCAATACATCAATCACACAATCATCGCAATCAAGACATACCGACGACCATAATAGTGAAGTCAAAGCCCTTTTTGGCCGACTTTCTGTGCACGTGTTCCGGAAGAGTCGCGAAACCGATTTCTCCCTATTGTTCACAATATATGCAACAATTATTGCTATTATAAATCTAATAATCATTACAATAATTGCGACAAAAGTTTGCAATCTATTCATATTTGTGTCAATCAATGTTATGATTAAACGATAATTTATAGCAAAAACAATAACAATAAGCAAATGAAAGGACAGAACAGGGAATGAGTGGTGAGATTGTCATGACTTACAACGACTGGCATCTCGTTTGGTATGTATTGTGACAATCAGTTGACAATTAAATACAATTAAATGGTTTCGCAAAACGATTGCTTTGTTTACAAATCAATTGATTCACAAAACAATAGGAGATTGACTTTGAAACGATGTGTTGACACTTTCCAAACTATTTCTACGCTTTAAGTCTACAATAATTTGTACGCAATTGTACTGTACTGTACTGACCCAGCCGTTCGCGATATGAGATTACACTAAAAAGTGTAATCTTTTACAATGAGTTATGCAATGCTTTGCAATCCTTGAAATATTTCCCCTTTTGTAAAATGATAATTATTTTTGAAACAAAAACTTTTTGAAGTAAACGATATTTAGACACTACTTATACTGTGGATCTGTTTATACATTACTTGTTAATCATAAATGTATTTAGAGTTGAATTGATGCCATCATTTGAATCAATGCTTATTACAGTAATTAACGTAAAGCTTAAGTTATAATTTGGTTAATA